TGGCACAAACGTGGGGTAGAAAGGATAATTGAGGGTCAAACAAAATGCCAAGGTTCCGGACTGGCTTAGTAAAGTGGAATGTGCCTCCATGGATGGTCATACTGTGAGCGCCTGAGGTATGGAGGCGCTGATGGGAGCCAATTAGGAGGGACTCGGTATTGTTGATGTTCAACTGAAGAAAGTTAGCTCTTATCCAGGACTTGATGTCTGACAGGACAGCAGTGGTCCTGGAGTTGAGGGTGAAGGCAGAGAGATACAGTTGGTTGTCATCCGCATACATATGGAAGTTGATCCCATGTCTGTGGATGATGTCACCAAGAGGGAGCCAATAGATATTAAAGAGAAGGAGACCAAGGACAGAGCCCTGAGGAACACTGCACGAGGTGATGCGGGGGCTGGAGGAGAAGCCGTTTGTGGAGATGAAATGGAGGCAGTGTGAGAGGTACGATCTGTATTATATCATCTAATAAACATTTTGCTTCCTTCCCTCCTCTGGTCCCTTTGGTGGCTGAGCCTCTAGACTCTGGAACTCTCTTCCGCTACCCCTCCATCTTGTCCCTCTCTCTTTGCCTTTAATTCCTGCTTTAAAACTTATCACTTCAACAACATAAAGTCAAGCTTTTGGCAAGGTCCTCATCTCACTGGATTTTGTTGTGTTTTGAATGCTACAGGTGTTAATGAACTGATCACTGGCCATAGTTTAACCACAGTGAAAAGGATAACAACAACTTGGATTTATATAGCGCTCTCCATGCCAGACGGCGTCTCAGAGGGCTATACAGTAACGGATCTCGGGACCAAGCCAGGGGGAGGGGAGGAAGGTGACCAAAGGCGCGGTCGAAAAGAAAGGTCTTCAGCAGAAACCTGAAAATGGGAAGGGAGGGAACGAGATGAAGGGAGTGAGGAAGGCAGTTCCAGAGCCTCGGGGCATTGTTGCTGAAGGCACGGCCGCCGAGGTTGGAGCGGAGGACTCGGGCGACGAGGAGGAGGCCAGACCCGGAGGAACGAAGGCAATGGATACTGTTTTAACTAACAGCTATCCGTCCACAAGATAATGAGTGGATACATTCCAAAATACTCTAATCAGAGTTCATGTTCATAACTGTAATCCTCTGGATATCCAACTTGTTTGCAAGACAGTGTACAGGGATCCACAGGAATTTCGTTGAACACAAATCCTCTTCAAAATAATGATTTTTCAAAAATAGAATGCATAGGAGTCATCTGCCAGCAAGAGTAGGTATTTATAATGGTATTTATTTTTCTCCTGTAAACTACAAAACTAAAATTTAACAAGAATATACTATCAAACTTTTAGCCAATGTTTACCTTCTCTGCGGTATAAATCCTCCCACACTGCTCAGGAATAATATGTGCTTCCAATTGTTAATCTCAAACATGGCAAAGGCAAAGTACAAATTTGGACACCCAGGAGTTATGCTGCAGCATTTGTTTAGTCAGAGAATAGACAAACAAAATAACACTCAGTAGGAGTGGCACTGAGCAGTGCCGAAGGTATAGGGAGTAGTGGGGTGGGTGGCAGGATAACATGTCTGAAATTAAAAACTGGTATAATTGAAGGCGGTGCCATTAATGACCCATTCGCCCACCCTATTGCAAAACCCGTCACCGCCACTGGACATGAGGGATGTGTGATACTAGCTATTACAGGTTTTGATCTGTATTCTTTAAAAGAAATAATACATTTCTAAGATTTGTAAGTAACCTTTCCTCTGTCTCTGACTTTCTGTGGGACACAAGTTCACCATTTTTCAGGACACAACTTTGAAATCTCAATAATGTTTTATTGGATATTCAGCATATTGGATAACTAATTTCTTCCCATTGATTCACAGCTCCTCTTAAGCTCATACATTTGATTCCAATAGATTCCACTGTCACTTGCAGGTTAATTTTATATTTAATTAGAACAAGCAATATTTGTTATAATGGTGACGAGAGGTGACATATCGTATTGTAGCCACAGAATCACATTGATGAAGAAGGCCCTTCAGTCCATTTGATCTCATCAATCCTGAATACCAGCCCAAGTGAAAAAACTTAATGAATCAGCAGAATTCTCTTTTAAGAGGTCTGATATCATGCTACCCAGAGGCAAGTACACCATGTCCCCATGTAGAGGTGTAAGGCATGTTTAAAATAACCAGAAAATATTAACATAGACAGCAGTATCTTCTCAATATGCAGCCAATTATTCAGGCATGGAAAGCTTCTCAAGTAGTTGCCTGAATGACATTCATTCAAAAAGAGCAGCACTGAGTCTTTATTATCAAAGTTAACTACAGTATGTATTCAACTGCATTCTTGGATTTCATCAAAGGGAAAGAACACTGTGAAAAAGCTGCAATTTATTTTGTCACGACATTAACTTGCCAACTCACAGACTCCTGTGTCTCAGCAGAAATGCCAGTGCTCACTTGTCCTCTCACGTGTCCTAACACATTTCCATCAACTGTGAAACAACAGTAACTACCGCTTCATCTCTCAGATCAGAGCCTACTAAGCACCCACACAAATTTGGAAAAGCATTATGTAAAGCAGATTAGTATTAGCAAGAATTAGACGGCAAACTAGGATTTGATGCCATGGAAAAGATCTTAAATTAACTTGAAATGAAGAGATAATTCAGAAGGATCCAGCCAGTCCACTATTTAACAGGCCTTTTATCATAGGACCAGAAGGAGGCCATCCAGTCTGTCTACGGGAGATGGCCATTCTATCTGTTGAACCTGTTCTATCACTGTTCTATCCATGTTTCTATCATGTAAAAGTGCATTGCCTGTGGATCTCTGGGATGCATTTCTGGTTACTGAAAGGAATTATCATTTGGAGTCCACATTAAGAAATCTCATTTGAAATTTCTGTATTTCAAACCTTTTCCAGCAAACCTCAAAAAAAAGATTTTAAAATGTTTAGTACAAATGCTATCACCTTTTTAATCCATTGCTTGATAACACTTTCTCTTCCTGCCAAGTGTATGTGCACAAGCAGCCACATAAACCAGCCTTTGTGTTTATAGTAACACTACCCTGGCACCAGCTGTCTGACCACCAGCTCAGAAGTTATTGATGAGATTTTGGGAAAGAAAATGTTTCTACGCTAAATATAGAAATGCATTATAATACAAATATCAGAAATCATGCAATTATAAAAATAGGATAAGGCATGTCTTAAACCGACTCCTTTTAAACTCCCATTATCAATAGCTTCTGCAGCAGTTGGATAACAGTACCACAGTTTGGAATCAGGTTGCATAGAAAGTGGGAAGCTTGCCTGATATACACATACATACCTTTCCTCCACTAGATTACAAGAGACAAGAAAAATCAGTCTCGATATATTGTGCATGCCGAGGTGCATCTGAATCCAAAGGAACCAATTTACAATAGTTCAGCTTTTTTGTTCATTCCTTAATCACATAGTGCTTACAGAAAACATGCCAAAGCTTCCGTTGCAAGCTTATGTAATACTCTGTACGTGCAGACTTTAAAAAAGGTTACTTACACATTTAAGAAACAGAAAGCAGTGCTCCCAACTGGAGTCAGTTTTGATTAAAAATTGTTTTTAATTCTTGCCCTATCACTAAATGCACTTCACTGATTCTCAGCCAAGCACCTAAATGGATCATTTTGTAGCAGTAGTAGCAGAATGCTCAGTCATGGAAGAAAAAGAACTCTCCTGAAAATCAACTGCTTACAGATGCACAATTCTTGTTGGTCTAGTACAGAACAACACTAATGGCAACCCTGAGCAACCATGGTATAAGCAGCTGGCTGCAGAAGCTGCAGTGTAGCAAGAGACAACAGGAGAGAAACTGAAGGCGATATACAAGGACAAAATACAATCTGAAAATGTCACTTGACAAGACTCACTGGAAAACTAAGTTATACAACAGTATATGGTTTTTAAAAAATATCGCAAACAACTCTTCCTGCAACTGATTTTTCTTTATATCTGACAGAAAGCATTGGTTGGAAGCTTCACATTGAGGGCATTTTAAAATCACATTGAAAACCTACAACTGAAACATTGTGACCTATTTTTATACACTGTTGTTGTCTTGGAATGATGCGTTTTAAGGTGTGTATTATCATACACTTAACAACAACAACAACAAGATTGCATTTATAGAGCGCCTTTCACGTCGGGAGGACGTCCCAAGGCGCTGGACAGTTGGGTCGGGACCCGAGCAGGGGGAAATGGTCAGGGTGAGGGGAGGGAAGGGAGGAAGCGAGGAGGGGGTAGAGAGTCGAGAGGGGAGCTGAAGGCACGGTTGAAGAGAAAGGTCTTGAGACCGGCCTTGAAGGAGGAAATGAAGGAAGCAAAGCGAAGGCACTGGGGGATGGAGTTCCAGAGCCTAGGGGCTGAGAGGCTGAAAGCCCGGCCACCGATGGTAGGGCAGTTAGGGCGGGGGATGTGGAGCTGACTGGCAATGGAGCCAGAGGAACGGAGGGTACGGGCAGGTACGTGGGGGGATAGTAGGTCGGAGAGGTAGGAGGGTGCAAGGCCATGAATGTGGCCTTGTAGGTGAGGATGAGGATCTTGAATTCGATCCTCTGGGGGATGGGGAGCCAGTGGAGGCGAGCGAGGGTGGGAATGATGTGGTCGCGTAGCCTGGTGCGGGACGTACACAAGCTGCAGAGTTCTGAATGACCTGCAGCTTGTGGAGAAGAAGCACTGAAAGAGATAAAAACAAAGTTAGCACATGCTAAGACACTCCAACATACTTTAATGTTTAGTGATGTCCTTCATGTACTGATTTTCTTTCCCAACAAAGATGGACCTTATGTTTTGGGAAGGACTTCAGGTGAACCCTACCAAAATGTGATCTGATTCAAAGCAAAGCAACTAAAATGTTCACATTAATATGCAGATCATAAAGACAGTTTCACAATATCGTCTTTCACTCTCTTTAGATGCATTTTGACTGTGAAACCAAATTTCAGCTTCGGAAGAGTTAACAAATAATTTGGCAATACCTGCATGACTATAAGGAGGTCAAAGACTAGGACAAACGAGGCCAGGAAAGCTCTGGAGACTTCATCACTTGGCATAAATCCTCGGTTCAACTTGTCCCAACTGATCCAGTCAGTGGTAATGACAATAACAACAACAGATGTCAGGGAGATCAGCACTGACCTGTGAAAACAAGACAGAAATATATTTTTATTTGTTGCTTGCTAGTAAATAAAACGTGCTGGGTGGGATGGTCAAAGCTTTCCGTCAACTCTCAAAGCAAAGAATTACAAAGGAAACATTGGCTATTAACTTTTCTCCAAGACAAATAGTTTAGAAAGAGATGGCCTGTTTAATTCACATATTGTCCTTTCCCCATCTTTTGTGTTGCTCTATATATTTTTCTTTCAGCTGGATGCTGTGACGTTTACTCCCATAACCAAAGCAAGACCCACCTGCCAACAGGTGAGACACCTGGAATATCCATACACATCCAGGGTGAATCAACCACGATCACAATCGCTGATGATGGAAAAGATTCAGCACTCCTTTAATTTGTGATGTCAAATTAAATGCTGAATTGTTATGCTGAATTTGTCATGTTACTTGACAGTGATCATAAACATTAAGGTATGTACCAAATGCCACACACAAACAATTTGCATTTGCATTTTGCTGTACACCAGTATTATCAATTTTACTGTTTTGTATCACCGAAGGGAGTTGACAAGTATTTTTTTTCCCCCCTACGATGCCCTTTGAATTTCTCTCCTATTTCTCATCTCCCGAAGACTTAATAATCCCTCTAGCACCTCACCCAAGTAATCCTTCTTCACGTGATTAACCTGGACAGTAAATATCAGCATGATTTTTGACAGCATCAAAGCCAAGCCTGATTTGGGTTGCTATATATCAGTCAAAGCAGGAATCCTAGCCAAAGTTTCAGCCTTCTCTGGTAATTGGTGAGGCCAATTGCAGTGCCCCACTGCCAAACCAGCTGGCATTGGCAAATAACACAGACTAGGGATCAGACATTCCAGTCTATCAGGCTTTGCATAATCTACCCACTACAGAGTACCATATATGTAATTATTTAAGAGTCGAACTTTCGCGGAATCCTCAATATTTTATCTTTTTGAGTGGACAAATTTTCGGGGATGACCCACATTAAAAGAAACTAAACTGAAAATGGGTCAATATACCCATTTTCGCCAACAAAATATACAGTCAATTCACTTTACAGTATATTCTGTGAAGTGCTTTGAGGTGTCCCAACGACGTGATGAGGCACTACATCAAATGCAAGGATTCTTATTATTATACCAGTAAAGCGGGACGCAATAAAATACCTTACAATTCAAACCCTTTTCACGAGGCTGCCGCATGCGTGAACACAGCTCCGACACTTCCCGTCGTCACAGGTAAGGTGTTTTGTTTTGCTCTGCAAATTATTTTGCAATGTTTTACTTTTATGTATCCTGGAGCGGTTTCGTGATTTCCGCGGCAATTATTATACCCGAAGATATTTACATATACGGTAATTGTCATATTCTAAATGCAAGATCTAATATTACAGAACAGCAACATTTATGTGCATTTTTTCGTTTAATTTGAAAATGGAATACTAACACCTCCACTGTTAAAGCAGCATCTAAGTAGTTTAGCTTTCCTCTTTCTTGACAGACAAACATTAATTTTCCCCTGAACAACACTTGCTGTCCCTAAAGCCCAAACTTGTCCACAATTTGAACACTGCTCGCTCATCCAGAGAAGTTTTTTTAACACGGCTCATACACTTTGAACAAAACACAAGAAATGACTTGGCCTGAATGATTCTTCCCCGACCTTCATTCTCCATCCTCATGCTCACTTTTTGCAAACATTTCCATTATCCCCAATTTCAAAATCAATATTGCTATGATCATTGTTCAACTTGTTTTTTCACCTTTGAAGACCTGTTGGAGGTGTTTAAAATCCCAGAAAGATTCATAGGGCTGACAATTGATAGGCTGCTCCCAATGAGCCAAAATGATAGCTGTTATGTAGCAAATCTAAAAGGGAGTCTAGGAGGAAATACTTTACACAGAGGGCGGTGAGAATGTGGAACTCACTACTGTATGCTATAGTTGAAGGAAAAGAATCAAATTATTCAAGAGGAAACTTGTTTCATGCATGGCAATAGATGTGTACAGGAGAGGGGAATAGAAGGGATGGAGATTTGTGTGGAATATAAACACAGACATGGCCAAATTAGACTAAATGACCCATTTCCATTTAATTCAATGTAAAATACACCATAATACATGCTCATTCTCCTCATGGTATTATAAATCAAATCTCAATACACAGTCTCCTAATGTAACAGTCTTTTTCAGGATCTTAATCCTGTTGAATGCTTCAACTGATACAAATGTATTTCTGTTGGCCATTCACCTTAATTCTGAATAAAATAAACTCATCATGGCTCACAAAGGGAATACATAACTTGGCTTCACACAGTGATTTTAAACATTTGCTTCATTGGCAATTCATCAGTGGAATTGCTAAATTGTTGCAATTCCAACAGCAACAAATCTGCCAAATAAACAGTTAATTTAAACAACAAATGCAAATACAGTCCTCTTGCTGCTTTGCCAGCTTTGCTCTTAAAATATGACTGCTGAGAAAATGACAGCTGAATGTTCCTGTCCATATGCAGCCTGACCCCAATTACCAGGCAGTGAGTGTTCTGTGCTCTTGTGATGGATGTGAAAGGATAAGCACTATTTCAGCGACTCTGCCAGACCCAGAAACACAGTGGAGGCAGGGATGGCTGGACTGGGGATTTGCTGGAGCAATGACATCTTTAAGCAGAAAAATAAAGGAAACAGTTGGGTCTAATTTGCTGCATTTCTTCCCTTTGGAATTCCCTATGGCGCAGAGCAACTCAACTCTGGACATATCTCCTCCCGATAACTAGAAATATGTCAAGATGACTGTGGGACTTCACTTTGATCACTTCAGCGTGAAGCCCTATGGTCAACATGACATACTTCTAATTATCAGGAGGAGTCTTAAGTTACATAACTTCAGATCCTTATTAAGCAATTACTTCAAGAAATCTTCCAAATTAGACCACTCTCTTTCTTATTAAAAGTCAGCTTCAGCTGTATAATAATTGCACAGATAATTGAACAATGTGCATTTTTCTTTCTAGGATGACATGGTCATTCATTACAGAAATCTTCCTCACCATGCTCCATTTTATACCACACAGCAATGTATATCATACACATTACACCCTTCCTCTCTGCTTTCAAACCATCTCTCTTTGAACTGTGCCTTCAATTATCTTCCTCCTATTATACCTCTCCTTTCCCAGCCTGTTGGGGCTCCCACTCTGATTCTTGGGACATTTCACTGCATGAAAGTTGCTTTACAAGTTAGAGGATTTTCTCCCCCTTTGCTAAACTGTGTTATGTTATTGATAAGTTACTCATGTATATTTACAATTAATTTCCAAATTGCTCTAATCCTGTAATAATATTAATAATAATCCTTGCATTTGATATCGCGCCTTATCACTTCTTTGAGAGGTCTCAAAGAGCTTCACAGAATATACAATTGACTGTATATTTTGTGGGCGAAACGCGGCAGCCAATTACACACAACAGTGTCCCACAAACAGTCGTCGATTGAAGTGACCAATTTTTTTTTGAAGGAATTATTACCTCTGGAAAAACGATCCGCTAATCAACTAACAACCGGGCTCCTATTTGCTGCTAGGTAAACAGGAGCGTGTGAAGTAAGGAAACTTGCCCAATGTTTTGTACAGCCAGGAATCGAATCCAGGTCTCTCACTTGCGAGGCGAGTGCTCTAGCTACTGAGCTACAGGACTCCATGAAAGAAAGGAAATGTATTGTAATGAACTGAAGGTTGTGGAAATACTCCGATGTTGGTATTTTCTGCACTCACAATATATTTTGATTAACTGCAGCCCTGAATTCTAAATCTCAGTCAGCTTCATCACTTCCTTGGTGCAACTGTGTGTGACAAGATGAACTAATAGAATACCAGGCTAAAGGGATGAGTTTATATGGGATGTATAATAGGATTAAGCTATGGTGTACAACAAAGCACAGGCCTTAGGTTCTTGAAGTAAGGGCTTTCGGAGTATTATTGCTGTGATTGATTGCACGTTTGCCCATAAGATTAGATATACCAAATTTCTAACACCAGACAGTATACAAACAATTTAGTGGGAGAGTAGAACTGCAGAAAGGAACAGACAGTTACTGCAAGTCGAGCAACTGTAATGGCTGAAGCTGGCAACCCTTTTGTCTTTAAAATGCTAATTTTTAAGTGACAATAATGTCAAATATTGAAACATGCTCTCATGGCAAAAAGCATGCATGAATTAGAAGATATATAATGCTCCAGTGCGGTAATGTAGAGTGCTGCATTTCTGGAATCAAACTTTAAACTAAGGTAACGTCTAGGATTTAGGTGAGCATCAACAAACCCTTGGGACCTCCTCCCAATGTGAAAGGCGCTATACAAATGTGATTTGTATTGTGTTGAAAGGGAATTTATTCCAGCGTTCTACCTATCCTGCATGATAAGAATAATATGAATAAAATTTTGGGAAACAGAAACAGTGAGTCAACCTGGCTCCATGGTAGTACTTTCACCTCTGAATCAGAAGGCTGTGGGCTCAAGCCCTACATCGGAGCTTTTAGTTCAAATTCAAGGCTGACAAGTGCTGGGGTGCACTGCATTGACAGGTTCACATACTTAGATGGACAATAAAGATCCCATGGAACTATTAGAAAAAANGAGATGGGAGCTCCTCACGATGTTCTGACCAACACACCCCCAGATAAAATTGGTCTATTTGTGGGATATTGTTGTGCGAAAAATGGTTGCTGTGTTCACCTACAACATATATAGTTGCTACACTTAATGCAGTAGGATTCCGTGAATGCTTTAAGATGTTCTGACAACATAAGGTGCTATATCAAGTGCAAGGATTATTATTAATTAACACAAGAGTACACAATCAGTGCAGCACTAAATAAATTGAGTCATTTCAGAACCTCAGGCACAGCCAAGTAAACATGCTCATTACTTTGTATCAGTACAGATCTTTGCTTGGATCAACTGAGCACTTAAAGGGTCAAACTTTACACAAATCGATTCAGAG